CTGGGGATGTGCCCGCAACCAAGGTACATGCCCTTGACCGGAATCGAACCCGGGACCTTTCAGTCCGCAGACCGACGCTCTATCACTGAGCCAAACCGGTGCCGGCCAAAAATATATTTTTAATAATAACAATAATAAAGAAACAGGAAGCCGAAACCGGTGTGGCTCAGTGGGTAGAGCGTCGGCCTGCGGACTGAAGGATCTCAGGTTCGATTCCGGTCAAGGGCATGTACCTTGGTTGCGGGCACATCCCCAGTAGGGGGCGTGCAAGAGGCAGCTGATCAATGATGATTCTCTCTCATCGATGTTTCTAACTCTCTATCTCTCTCCCTTCCTCTCTGTACAAAAATCAATAAAATATAAAATAAAATGAAAAAATAAAATAAATCAATAAAATATATTTAAAAAAAAAAAAAGAAAGAAAGAAGGAAAGATAGGAACAGGAAGCAGATCAGTGGTTGCCAGGGCTGGAGGGAGGAGGGGTTGCTTGCTGTGTGGATCTCGTTTTCGGGAACTAGATAGTGGCGGTGGTTCACATTGTGAATGCAGAGAGTGTCATTAAATGGTAAGTCAGTTTTTCTTTTAGCAAGAGAAAAATAACCAGACTTCATACATACAATCATACATACATACATATGGATGTATGAGAGAGTCAGCGACCCACCCCCCCCAGGCACAAGAAGTTCCATTAAATGGTAAATCTTACGCTTTGTGCATTTTACAATGAAGCAGATGAATGGAGGCATTATGGCGGCGGCGGGCGGGGGCGGGCGAGTGGAGGGCGGTAAGCTCGCTGGCAGGGCGTTGGTGCTTTGGTGTCCGGGGAGACCCTGCAGATACCAAAGCCCAGAACGCTCACGTCCGTTATGGCACAGGGCTCAGCGGCGTGCATTGGGACGGTGTGCTAATGAGATCATGTCAGAAGGTGTTCACGACCCAAAGGCTTGTGGGCGATGCTCTCCTTGAAGTCACCGTTGAAAAGGCATCCTGGGCCGAAACCGGTGTGGCTCAGTGGATAGCGCGTCGGCCTGCGGACTGAAAGGTCCCAGGTTCGATTCCGGTCAAGGGCATGTACCTTGGTTGCGGGCACATCCCCAGTAGGAGGTGTGCAAAAGGCAGCTGATGGATGATTCTCTCATCGATGTTTCTAATTCTATCCCTCTCTCTTCCTGTCCGTAAAACATCAATAAAATGTATTTTAAAAAAAAGAAAAAGAAAAGCCATCCTAGGAGTTCAGATGGCGAGGCCTCAGAAATGGGCTGATTGGAGCTCATGCTATAAAACGTCAGTATGGCTGAAGCCGGTTTGGCTCAGTGGTAGAGCGTTGGTCTGTAGACTGAAGGGTCCCTGGTTCGATTCCGGTCAAGGGCATGTACGTTGGTTGTGGACACATCTCTAGTAGGGGGTGTGCAAGAGGCAGCTGGCCGATATTTCTCTCTCATCGACATTTCTGGCTCTCTATCCCTCTCTCTTCCTCTCTGTTAAAAATCAATAAAATATATTAAAAAAAAAAAACACACGTCCGTATCATCGAAACCGGTGTGGCTCAGTGGATAGAGCGTCGGCCTGGGGACTGAAGGGTCCCGGGTTCGATTCCTGTTAAGGGCATGTACGTTGGTTGTGGACACATCCCCAGTGGGGGGTGTGCAAGAGGCAGCTGGTCGATGACTCTCTCTCTCATCAATGTTTCTGGCTCTCTATCTCTCTCCTTCCTCTCTGTAAAATATCTATAAAATATTATATATTTAATAAATAAATAAATAAATAAATAAATAAATAAATAAAACGTCAGTATCATGGTCGTTGGCCACGTTTGTTTCAGGCCATCATATAAGGTATTTCAAGTAAATTCTTGATAATTTTGCAGGGGAAACAAATATGAATATTAGTCTACATTTCTTTGCAGATTTTTCTTTTTTTTCTTTTTTTAAAAAATATATTTTATTGATTTTTTACAGAGAGGAAGAGAGAGTGATAGAGAGTTAGAAACATCAATGAGAGAGAAACATCGATCAGCTGCCTCTTGCACACCCCCCATTGGGGATGTACTTGCAACCAAGGTATAATACATGCCCTTGACCGGAATCAAACCTGGGACCTTTCAGTCCGCAGACCGACGCTCTATCCACTGAGCCAAACCGGTTCGGCAGATTTTTCTTTCTTGAAGAAATGATAAGCACCCTCTCCAGTTTGTCTCAGTGGATAAAGCATTGGCCTGCAGCCTGAAGGGTCTGGGTTTGATTGAGGTCAAGGGCACATTCCCGGGGTTTCGGGCTGGATTCCCAGTAGGGGGCGCGCAGGAGGTAGCCGATCAGTGATTCTCTCTCATCATTGATGTTTCTATTTCTCTCTCCCTCTCCCTTCCTCTCTGAAATCAATAACAATTAAAAATTTATAAGCTAGCTACAGGGTTCATGTCTAGGTTTGCTTGTGTGTTGCTGTTTTTTTGTGTGTGTGTTTTCAAAAAATATTTTATTGGTTTTTTACAGAGAGGAAGGGAGAGGGATAGAGAGCTAGAAACATTGATGAGAGAGAAACATCGATCAGCTGCCTCCTGCACACCCCCTACCGGGGATATGCCTGCAACCAAGGTACATGCCCTTTGACCGGAATCGAACCTGGGACCTTTCAGTCCGCAGGCAGATGCTCTATCCATTGAGCCAAACCAGTTTCCGCTGCTTGTTTTTTTTTGTGTGTTTTGTTTTGTTTTTCGTGTATTTTTATTTATTTTAGAGAGGAAGGGAGATAGATAGAAACATGAACAATGAGAGGGAATCATTGATCCCCTGCCCCCTGCCCCCCCGCCCCCGCACTGGGGATAGAGCCCACAACCCTGGCATGTGCCCTGACCAGGAATCGAACCCAGGACCCTTCAGTTCGCAGGCCCACACTCTATCCCCTGAGCCAAGCTGTCTAGGGAAAGGGTTTTTTTTGTTTGTTTGTTTTTTGTAAAACTTTTTATAGATGTCAGAGAGGAAAGGAGAGAGAAAGAGAAACATCAGCGATGAGAGAAAAATCATTGATTGGCTGCTTCCTACATGCCCCCCTCTGGGGAGGGAGCCCACAGCCCAGGCATGTGCCCTGACCGGGAGTTAAACCGTGACCTCCTGGTTAATAGGTCGGCCGCCGCTCAACCACTGCGCCCAGCCGGCTGGGCCCGCGTCCAGCTCTTAAGCACTTTGAGAACAATGAGACGTGTCTTTTTGCTGATGGGTGACTTTCCATTCGTTCAGTTCAGTTTCTGGGCAGATTTCAAGTGTTGTTTCCCCGACCCTTGTTTTTTGGTTAATCCTCACCCAAGGATATTTTTTCCCATTGATTTTTAGGGAGAATGAAAGGAGGAAAGAGAGAGAGAAATACTGATGTGAGAGACACACATATAGATATGTTGCCTCTCCACACGCCCCCTGACCGCGCCCGGGGACTGAACCTGCGGCCCAGGTATGCGCCCTTGGCAGGGAATCAAACCCTTTCCTGTGTGGGCTTCCACCGGTCTAACCACTGAGCAACACCAGCCGCAGCCTTTTGTCAGTTCTCGCGTGTGTGTGCCCTGCCCCAGAAAGAAACCCACAACCTTCGTGTCTCCCTGGCCGACACTCAGCGCCCCGGCCAAACCCTCTTTTTTGCGCGAAGGGAGGAGGCATTTGGCAGCCGTGGCAGCCGAGTGTCCCTTTCGCTTTGCATGTGCTGTGCCCGTTCCGGGTCGGATGCACATAACGGGACCTTGAATCCATACATGTTAAAAAAAAAAAAAAAAAAAAAAAAAAAGAGCTTTCGATCTGCAATGTCTTTATACAGAGTTTTTATTTTACTCCTAAAACACGGTTCTGGAGCAAAAAAAAACACTGTTTTTTAAGAAAAGGAAGGGAAAAGAAGCGCGGGGCACTTTAACGGCCGCTGGGGGAGGGGTTCCGCCCAGGAACTCTGACAGCGGCTCGGAGGCAGCCCCGGGACAGACGCTCCGGGCCGCCCGGGGGTAAATGAGGTGAGCGGGGGCGGGAGGGCCCGATCCCGGCGCTGGGTCTGCCCCCGGCGCGGCCCGGGCGGGCGGGCGGCGCTGGCCCGCACCCTCCACCTGAGAAATAATAAAAATAAAAATAAAACCAGGGAGCAGCAGAGAAACAGATTGGAAAAAAAGAAGAACGTCCAGGACGGGCGGACAAACTGGAAGCCGGGCCCGCGGGGTGTGCCCTGAGCGGGGGCGGGGTTGCCGCCGGAGTCGGGGAGCGGGAGCGGGAGCGGGGAGCGGACAGGATGTGAGAGAGGAACCGGGGCGCAGTCACGGGAGCGGCCGCGGTGAGCGGAGCGGGGCGCGCACCCCGGGCCCCTGGGGCCGCGGGAGGAGGGCCGGGGCCGGGCTCCGGGGTCCGAGGTGCTGGGGATCCGGGACCCCTGGATCCGAGGCGCTGGGGACCCGGACGCCTGGGTCCGGGGGAGAAAGGGGGGACCGGGACCCCTGGATCCGAGGCGCTGGGGACCCGGACGCCTGGGTCCGGGGGAGAAAGGGGGGACCGGGACCCCTGGATCCGAGGCGCTGGGGACCCGGACGCTTGGTTCCGGGATTAAAGGGGGGACCGGGACCCCTGGATCCGAGGCGCTGGGGAACCGAACCCCTGGGTCCGGGGGAAGACGGGGGGACCCAGACCCCTGGATCCGAGGCGCTGGGGACCCAGACTCCGGGGTCCGAGGTGCCGGGGACCCGGAGCCCTGGGTCCGAGGGAGGAGCCGCTGGGGACCCGGGCCCCGGGGTCGGGGCGGAGCGGCGGCGGGGCCGGGCTCCGGGCCTGGGCGGGGCGGGCGGGCGGGACGGGGCGGCGGGCGGGCTGTCACTAATTAACCCGCAGGCCCGTCGGGGTAAAGGGTCGCCGAGCCAGGGCGTCCGTGCCGCCGGCGGGACCAGCCGGACCCGCACCCCGTGGCCGTGGCGGCCGAGCCCCGCGGAGCCGGGGCGGGGAACCCGGAGTCACACGCCCCCTCCCGCCCCAGGTCTCCCTCTCAGCATGCGGGTGCCCCGGCCTCAGCCTTGGGGGCTCTGGCTCCTGCTCGTCCTCCTGCCCCGGACCCTGCGCGCAGGTGAGGCGCCCGGCGGGCGGAGGGGGTGCCGACGGCCGGGAGAGCAGCGGACCCCGGAGTCTCCCCGGAGTCTCCCCGGAGCCCGGGCCCGTCCTCCCCGCGTTTCACTTTGTTTACCACCTGCTCCCCCACCTCGGGTCCCTCCCGGGGTCCGTGCGCCCTTCCCCGGGGTCCGCGTGCCCCTCCCCGGGGTCTGCGCCCCTCCCCGGGGTCTGTGCCCCTCCCCGTCCTTGCGCCCCTCCCCGGGGTCCGCGCGCCCCTCCCCGGGGGTCTGTGCGCCCCTCCCCGGAGGTCTGTCCCCCTCCCCGGGGTCTGCGCCCCTCCCCGGGGGTCTGTGCGCCCCTCCCCGGGCGTCTGTCCCCTTCTCTGGGGTCTGTCCCCCTCCCCGGTCTGTCCCCCTCCCCGGGGGTCTGTGCCCTTCCCTGGTCCGTGCGCCCCTCCCTGATCCGTGCGCCCCTCCCCGGAGGTCTGTCCCCCTCCCCGGGGTCTGCGCCCCTCCCCAGTCTGTCCCCCTCCCCTGGGGTCTGTCCCCCTCCCCGGGGGTCTGTCCCCCTCCCCGGGGGTCTGTCCCCCTCCCCGGGGGTCTGTGCGCCCCTCCCCGGGCGTCTGTCCCCTTCTCTGGGGTCTGTCCCCCTCCCTGGTCTGTCCCCCTCCCCGGGGGTCTGTGCCCTTCCCTGGTCCGTGCGCCCCTCCCTGATCCGTGCGCCCCTCCCCGGGGGTCTGTCCCCCTCCCCGGGGTCTGCGCCCCTCCCCGGGGGTCTGTCCCCCTCCCCGGGGTCTGCGCCCCTCCCCAGTCTGTCCCCCTCCCCTGGGGTCTGTCCCCCTCCCCGGGGGTCTGTCCCCCTCCCCGGGGTCTGTCCCCCACCCCGGTCTGTCCCCCTCCCCGGGGGTCTGTGCCCCTCCCCAGTCTGTCCCCCTCCCCGGGGTCTGTCCCCCACCCCGGTCTGTCCCCCTCCCCGGGGGTCTGTGCCCCTCCCCAGTCTGTCCCCCTCCCCTGGGGTCTGTCCCCCTCCCCGGGGTCTGTCCCCCACCCCGGTCTGTCCCCCTCCCCGGGGGTCTGTCCCCCTCCCCGGGGGTCTGTCCCCCTCCCCGGGGTCTGTCCCCCACCCCGGTCTGTCCCCCTCCCCTGGGGTCTGTCCCCCTCCCCGGGGTCTGTCCCCCTCCCCGGGGTCTGTCCCCCACCCCGGTCTGTCCCCCTCCCCGGGGGTCTGTGCCCCTCCCCAGTCTGTCCCCCTCCCCCGGGGTCTGCGCCCCTCCCTGGTCCGTGCGCCCCTCCCTGGTCCGTGCGCCCCTCCCGGTCTGTCCCGCTGTCCCGGTGTCTTCGCTCTCGGGCGCCGGCCCCACCTGCCCCTGTCCCCGCAGACGGCCACCGCTCCCTCCAGTACCGCCTGACGGCCGTGTCCTCCCCGGCGCGCGGCGCCCCCGCCTTCTGGGCCACCGGCTGGCTGGGGCCGCAGCAGTACCTGCGCTACAACAGCCTGCGCGGCCAGGCCGAGCCCTTCGGCGCCTGGATCTGGGAGAGCCAGCTGCCCTGGTACTGGGAGAAGGAGACCACCGACCTGCGGGGCAAGCAGGCGCTCTTCCTGGAGGCGCTCGCCGCCCTCGCCGCCCTGCAGAAAGGTGAGGGGCTGGCCGGCCGAGGGAGGAGGGCTGGGGGCCTGGGTCTGAGGGAGGAGGGCTGGGAGCCTGGGCCCCTGGGGCTGAGGGAGGAGGGCTGGGGGCCTGGGTCCCTGGGTCCGAGGGAGGAGGGCTGGGGGCCTGGGCCCCTGGGGCTGAGGGAGGAGGGCTGGAGGCCTGGGTCTGAGGGAGGAGGGCTGGGGGCCTGGAGTCCAGGGTCTGAGGGAGGAGGGCTGGGGGCCTGGGTCTGAGGGAGGAGGGGCTGGGGTCCTGGAGTCCAGGGTCTGAGGGAGGAGGGCTAGGGCCTGGACCCCTGGGTCTGAGGGAGGAGGGCTGGGGGCCTGGACCCCTGGGTCTGAGGGAGGAGGGCTGGGGGTCTGGACAACTGGGGCTGAGGAAGGAGGGGCTGGGCTCCTGGGTCTGAGGGAGGAGGGGCTGGGGGCCTGGACCCCTGGGTCTGAGGGAGGAGGGGCTGGGTGCCTGGGTCTGAGGGAGGAGGGGCTGGGGGCCTGGGCCCCTGGGGCTGAGGGAGGAGGGGCTAGGGGCCTGGGCCCCTGGGGCTGAGGGAGGAGGGGCTGGGCCCCTGGGTCTGAGGGGGGCGGGCAGGGCCCCTGTCCTGGCCCCGCTCACTGTGGTGGGTGCCCCAGGCTCCTACATCCTGCAGGGCCTGCTGGGCTGTGAGATGGGCCCTGACAACGCCACGGTGCCCGTGGCCTCGTTCGCGCTGAACGGCGAGGAGTTCATGAAGTTCGACGTGAAGGCGGGCACCTGGGACGGGGACTGGCCGGAGGCCCGGGAGATCGGCCAGAAGTGGCGGCAGCACGAGGACGCCGTGTGGCAGGAGAGGCACTTCCTCATGTCCTCCTGCCCCCAGCGGCTGCGGGGCCACCTGCAGACCGGCCGCGGCAACCTGGAGTGGAAGGGTGAGCACCCGGGAGTCCCGCAGCCCCCGGAGGCCCGGCCTCTCCCCACCGCCCTTCCCTGCCCCCGCCTCCAGGGCCCCCTCTGTCCCCACAGGTGACCCTGCCCCTCTCCTCTCACCGCCCTCCTGTGGCCCCAGAGCCGCAGCCTGGCATGGGGGCCCCAGAGGGTGTGGCCCCTGTCCCTCCCTGAGCCTCACGTTTCCCCGAGACACCCCTCTGCCGGGTGGCACCACCCAGAGTTCCCTGAGCTCACTCCGGCCCTCCCCCCCTCCCCTGTCACTCTCCGCCCGGGTCCACCTGTCACACCCAGGGACCTTCTTCTTGTCCCCGAGGCTCTCACTTACCTGGTGGGGGCTCCCGTGATCCTCCTGTGACCTCCCTTACCGCACATGTCACTGAGCTGAGAAGGGGTACAGGCCGCGGACCGGGTTCTCCAGGGCTGGAATCAGGGCTCTTTGGGGTCCCCCCACCTTGCCATCCCAGCTTCCCCCTCGGCCCTCCGTACGGACCACCCTCCACCTGGCAGTCAGAGGGGTGGTTTATTTATTATGTAAAATATATTTTGGCTGAAACCGGTGTGGCTCAGTGGATAGAACGTCGGTCTGCGGACTGAAGGGTCCCAGGTTCGATTCCGGTCAGGAGCATGTACCTTGGTTGCAGGCACATCCCCAGTGGGGGAGTGTGTGTGTGTGCAGGAGGCAGCTGGTCAATGTCTCTGTCTCATGGATGTTTCTAGCTCTCTATCCCTCTCCCTTCCTCTCTGTAATTAATATATATTATTGGTTTCAGAGAGGAAGGGAGAGGGAGGAGAGAGAGAGAAACATCAATGACGAGAGAGAGAGAATCATGGATCAGCTGCCTCCTGCAAGTCCCCCATAGGGGTCTGAGCCCACAACCCGGGCACATGCCCTTGACTGGATTCGAACTGGGACCTTTCAGTTTGTAGGCAGACGCTCTATCCACTGGGCCAAACCGGCCAGGGCCAGTGGTGCTTTTTGGTTGCTGGGTACTGTTCCACTGCCTGCTCCGTATCAGCGCGTGGCCTCTTCCCGGACGGGGCGGTCGTGGGTAAAGCTTCCATGAGCATTTCTGTCTGCCCTCGGACGACTCTGTTTTCTCATTTTTAAAAAAATATATTTTATTGATTTTTTACAGAGAGGAAGGGAGAGAGATAGAGAGCCAGAAATGTCAATGAGAGAGAAACATCCATCAGTTGCCTCCTGCACACCCCCCACCAGGGATGTGCCGGCAACCAAGGTACATGGCCTTGACCGGAATCGAACCCGGGACCTTTCAGTCCGCAGACTGACACTCTATCCACTGAGCCACACCGGCTTCGGCTGTTTTCTCATTTCTGTGGGCTGCATACCCGTGAGTGGGGAGGTTAGATCATGGTCTGTGCAGGGGATTAACGTCAGTAGGTCGGCCCTGCTGCTCGCAAAGTGGCTGAACCAGTTCCTTTCCCTACGCCCACCAGCTGTGTGGGTGTGAATGCCAGTTGCTCCACAGGTTTGCCAGAATTTGATACCGTCTTTCATTTTAATAATTCCATGGGCGTGTGGTAGTGTCTTGTGAAATCATTTTTCAATAATCAGATAAATGACTTTTTAAAAAATATATATATATTCTTTATTGATTTTTTTTTACAGAGAGGAAGGGGGAGAGAGAGTTAGAAACATATCAATGAGAGGGAACCATCAAACCCAGGGCGCTCTATCCACTGAGCCAAACCAGCTAGGGCTTAAATATGTTTTTATTGATTTTTTATTATTTTTTTACTTTTTATTAGAGAGAGAGGAATAGAGGAGAGAGAGAGAAACATCCACAAGAGAGAAACATCAATCAGCTGCCTCCTGCAGGCCCCCTACTGGGGATGTGCCCGCAACCAAGGTACATGCCCTTGACCGGAATCGAACCTGGGACCCTTCAGTCCACAGGCCGACGCTCTATCCACTGAGCCAAACCTGCTAGGGCCAGAATCACTTTTTAATTTACTTATTCCTATTAAATTTGTATAGCTTCTTTTGGATTATGTCACCTTTGACCCATTTTTTTTTCTTTTGCAATCTTAATACCATTTAATTTCTTTTTCTAATCTTGTTGCCCTGGCTGGGATCCCAGTACAATGTTGAATAGAGTGGTGATAGTGAGCATTATGGATTCTCAAATTCACAAGAAAACTTCACTTGATCATAATGTATTATCTCTCGTATAAATGACTTGATTCTTCTACCCTGGCTGGTGTTGCTCAATGGTTAGAGGGCCGGACTGTGCCCCGAAGGGTCTCGGGTGCAATTCCTGATCCAGGGCCTGTACCTGGGTTTCAGGATGGATCCCTGGGTTGCAGGTTGGATCCCTGGCCCCAGTGGGGGTGCATGCCAAAGGCAACCAATTGATATGTCTCTCTCACCTTGGTTTCTCTTTCTCTCTCTTTCTCTCTCCTTCCCTCCCTTTCACTTGCTCTAAAAATCAATGGAACCCTAACGGGTTCGGCTCAGTGGATAGTGTTGTCCTGCGAACTAAAAGGTCCCAGGTTCGGTTCTGGTCAGGGGCATGTACCTTGGTTGCGGGCACATCCTCAGTAGGGGGTGTGCAGGAGGCAGCTGGTCGATGTTTCTCTTCATTGATGTTTCTAACTCTCTATCCCTCTCTCTTCCTCTCTGTAAAAAATCAATAAAATATATTTTTTTAAAAATTAATAAAATATATTTTTAAAAAACAAAAATAAAAATCAATGGAAAAAATATCCTTGGGTGAGGATTACCAATAAGAAAGTAAATAAATACAATTTTTAGATGGCTCCATTCTATCTGTTAATGTGTTTGTTTTTTAAGGGATTTTGAGTCTATTTGCATGAGAGATTAAATTCCGTTGCTTGTTATGTCCTTGTGAGCATTTGTTATCAAGGTTTCCATGGCTACCAGGCTAGGAACAGCTTCCTTTTTCTCAATTCCTGGAAGAATTTGTGTCAGAGCAGGATTTTTTCTCTCTCGGTTGTTTTGAAGAGTTCACCACTGATGTCATGTGGCATTTTGTTTCTTGAAAAGCTTGAAGTTATGGATTAAATTGTTTAAATGCTTAGTACTCAAGTTTTATTGTGTCAGTTTTGGAAAGCTGTGTAGGTCTTAGGGATTTTGTCCAGTACATTCGAATGTGCTGGCGTGAAATATTTCATAATTCTCTCTTACAATCTTTGTTTTTTTTCCCTTCCTTCCTTTCTTTTCTGTTTTTGTTTTTTGTTTTTTGTCTTTCTGTTAATCCTCAGTGGAGGAGTGGAAGGGTGGGGGAAAGGGGAGAGAAGAGAGAGAAACATGGACTTGAGAGAGCCCCACATCACTCAGTTGCCTCCCACGTGCACCCCAAACAGGGCGGGGAACCTGAAACCCAGGCACCTGCCCTTTCCCGGGCTGGCGCTCTAACCACTGAGCAACACTGGCCAGGGCGCCCTCTCACTATCTTTGTCAGGAGTGCAGGGTCTGTCTTACTTCCCCTCATCATTCCACTTTCAGAGCCTGCTGCCCTTTCATTTATTTGTCCACAAACGTCTGTCCCTCCCCTTAGAGCGTACGCTCCCTGGAGAGAGGGACGTGGACCCTGGCCGGGTTGGCTCCGTGGATAGAGCGTCGGCCTGCGGACTGAAGGGTCCCAGGTTCGATTCTGGTCAAGGGCAGGTGCCCCAGTTGCGGGCTCGATCCCCGGTAGGGGGTGTGCAGGAGGCAGCTGATCAATGATTCTCTCTCATTGATGGTTCTCTCTCTCTTCATCTCTGAAATCAATAAAAATATTTTTAAGAGAGAGAGAGAGAGAAAGAGAGAGCCCAAGACCGGTGTGGCTCAGTGGACAGAGCGTCGGTCTGTGGACCGAAAGGTCCTGGGTTTAATCCCCTTCAAGGGCATGTACCTTGGCTGCGGGCACATCCCCAGTGGGGAGCGTGCAGGAGGCAGCTGCTCAATGGTTCTCTCTCGATGTTTCTGACTCTCTATCCCTTCTCCCTTCTTCTCTGTAAAAAGTCAATAAAATATATTAGTATGTATTTATTTTAAAAAATAAAATAAAATAAGAGAGAGAGAGAGAGAGAGAGAGAGAGAGAGAGAGAGAGAGAGAGGGACTTTGTCTCTCGTTCACGCCTGTGTCTGTGCCCGGCGCGGTGCACGCCCGGCCCACGCCCGCTGCAGGGAGGCCGGATGAGCCGGGCACCCGGTGGCGATGGCGGGGCGCTGGGTGCCTGTCCCGCCGCAGGCCCCTCTCCTTTCACCGTTAATTCACAGGCCAAGCGCGGGGCACGCAGGGCGCGGGGGGCCCTGCCGCCGGGCCTGCAGCCCTCTGTGTCCCGTCCGCCGGCCCGGCGCTCAGCCTTTGCTGTCTGTCCGTCCGTCTGTCCGCAGAGCCGCCGTCCATGCGCCTGAAGGCGCGGCCCGCGGGCGCCGGGCTCTCGGTGCTCACCTGCAGCGCCTTCTCCTTCTACCCCCCGGAGCTGCAGCTGCGCTTCCTGCGCAACGGCCTGGCCGTGGGCGCCGGCGACAGCAACTTCGGCCCCAACGGCGACGGCTCCTTCCACGCCTGGTCCTCGCTCACCGTGCGCAGCGGCGACGAGCACCACTACCGCTGCGTGGTGCAGCACGCCGGCCTGCCGCAGCCGCTGGCCGTGGGCCTGGGTGAGGCCGGCGCTCCCTGCCCCCCGAGGCTGAGCACCCCAGGCCTGCTGTCTCCCCATCTCTGCCCACCCCCTCCCCGGCACTGCCCCTCCTCCCAGGGCCTGCCCTCTGACCTCTGCCCCCCACTGCCCCTCCTCCCAGGGCCTGCCCTCTGACCTCTGCCCCCCACTGCCCCTCCTCCCAGGGCCTGCCCTCTGACCTCTGGCCTGCATGCTCTCCCCTCCCTGGCCTTCCTGCTGCTGCTACTGGCCTAGATTATTATTATTCTCCTCCTCCTCCTCCTCCTCCTCCATCTCCCTCCCCTCCTCCATCTCCCTCCCCTCCTCCCCCTCCTCCTCCTCCTCCTCCTCCTCCTCCCTCTCCTCTTCCTCTTTCTCTTCTTTCTCCTTCTCTTACTCCTCCTCCTCCTCCTCCTCCTCCTCCTCCTCCTCCTCCTCCTTCTTCTTCTTCTTCTTCTTCTTCATTTTTTATTGATTATTTACAGAGAGGAAGGGAGAGGGATAGAGAGTCAGAAACATCCATGAGAGAGAAACATCGATCAGCTGCCTCCTGCAAACCCCCCACTTGGGGATGTGCCCACAGCCAAGGTACATGCCCTTGACCGGAATCAAACCCGGGACCTTTCAGTCCGCAGGCCGACGCTCTATCCACTGAGCCACACCGGTTTTGGCACTTGGTTTTTTTTTTTAAATAATTTTTATTGGTTATTTATAGAGAGGAAGGGAGAGGGAGAAAGAGTTAGAAACATCAATGAGAGAGAAACATCCATCAGCGGCCTCCTGCACACCCCCCACTGGGGATGTGCCCGAGGCCAAAGCACATGCCCTTGACCGGAATCGAACCCGGGACCCTTGAGTCCGCAGGCCGACGCTCTATCCACTGAGCCACACCGGTCAGGGCTGGCCTGGATTCTGGCCCCTTATTAACCACGGTGGACAGTCCTCCCGAAGTCCAACCACCTTCTGTCCGCTGCTGCCAGTCCTCCCAAGACGGACCTTTCACGCCGCTGAGTGACCTGCTGCTCTGTGCAAACCCTCCCCCCACCCCCCTGCAAAGCTCTAACACCAGCCCTGCGGCCAGGGCCCTGCCTGCTCTCGCTGTGGCTGGCTCTCGCATCCCCCCTGGGGCCTTCTGCCCAGACCCAGCACTTGCCCTGGCTGGCCTCTGCTCTGCCCACTTCCGCTCCAGCCTGGCCCCGGCTCAGGGGGGGAGAGGGTCCCTCTGACATCTGACACCGGCGTTTTCTCTGCCCGCAGATCCGCCAGCCACGTCCCTGGTGCCCGTGGTGGGAATCGTCGTGGGCCTGTTACTGCTCCTGGCCGTGGCCGCAGGAGGAGCTATGCTGTGGTGGAGGATGAGGAGGGGGCTACCAGGTGGGGGGCAGAAAGCGGGGGGACCCCCACAGAGAGAGAGACCCCAAACAATGGGAGCAGAGATCTAGACAGATAGAGGTGGGGACGGAGAGCTGGAGGCGGGAAGCAGACGCGGAGGGGGGCAGACACACACACACACACACACACACGCACACGCACACGCACACGGGAGGGGAGAGACTCAGACACTCTCAGAGGTTCTGATGACCCCCGCCTTTCTCTTTCCTGGTATCCTCAGCCCCTTGGATCCTTCTCCGCGGGGACGACCTCGGGGCCCTCCTGTCCACAGGCCCATCCAAGGATGCTGACTCCTAGGATATAAAAACCTTCTCAGCAGCTGCCTGACCGCCCGCCGCCGGCCGGCCCGGCCGCTGACGAGGCAGAGGCAGGGCGCTCCCATGCTGTGACTTCCCGGAACCCCCACGTTTCTGAGCCTCCGGAGGGAGTCCCGGGCCTGGTGTCGCCCTCTCTGGATTCTTCATCCTGTGATCAGCCTCAGTGTCCCCTCCTCATACAGATGGTTCTTTTCCACATTCACATATTACATGAGTTTGGGCCTGAATCGCTGTGTCGTCATCATTTTGACTTTTCCCACGGGGAAGGGGAAGGGTTGGGTGGGGGAGGTGAAGGGTTGGGTGGGGGAGGGGAAGGGTTGGGTGAGAAGGGTTGGGTGGGGGAGGTGAAGGGTTGGGTGGGGGAGGTGAAGGGTTGGGTGGGAAGGGTTGGGTGGGGGAGTTGAAGGGTTGGGTGGGGGAGGGGAAGGGTTGGGTAGGGGAGGGGAAGGGTCGGGTGGGGGAGGTGAAAGATTGGGTGGGGGGAATACAGGATGTAAGCTCTGGGCTTCAGATCTCTCCTGAGGCTAGCATGTTGCCTTGGTGGAATCTGATGATTTTATATACCAAGTCATAGAGTTTTCCTTTGTAAATTTTACAAACATTTACTGAATGCCTACAGGGTGCCAGGCATTTAAAAAGCTTTTTAAAAATTTTCTTTATTAACTAAGGAGCTACAAATCTCTCCTTATTTCCCTTTTACCCCCCAAAAAAACTTTAAAAAATATATTTTATTGATCTTTTATAGAGAAGAAAGGAGAGGGATAAAGAGCTAGAAACATCGATCAGCTGCCTCCTGCACACCCCCTACTGGGGATGTGCCCGCAACCAAGGTACATGCCCTTCACCGGAATCGAACCCGGGACCCTTTGGTCCTCAGGCCAACGCTCTATCCACTGAGCCAAACCAGTTTGGGCTCAATAAAAAATCTTTTAAAAAATAAAATTGGCCAAAACCGGTTTGGCTCAGCAGTAGAGCGTCGGTGTGCTGACTGAAAGGTCCCAGGTTCGATTCCGGTCAAGGGCATGTACCTTGGTTGTGGGCACATCCTCAGTAGGGGTGTGCAAGAGGCAGCTGGTCGATGTTTCTCTCTCATTGATGTTTCTAGCTCTCTATCTCTCTCCCTTCCTCTCTGAAAAAAAAATCAATAAAATATATTAATAAAAAATAAAATAGTGCCGGGACCGGTTTGGCTCAGTGGATAGAGCATTTTCCTGGGGACCGAAAGGTCCCAGGTTCGATTCCGGTCAAGGGTATGTAGGGGTGTGCTAACTCTCTATCCCTCTCTCTTCCTCTCTGTGAAAAACCAATAAAATATACTTCAAAAAATAAAAAATAAAATTGTGCTAATCCTAGGGCAACAACAACAACAACAAAGAGTTGTCCTCTCTATCAGGGAAGAGGATGGCTCCTCTGCCCCCTGGGCTCCCTTCTCTCTTAAACAAAAGGAGGATAGAAAGAAATCTCCCATGAGGCTTTACAGTTAGAACCACTGGAGTTGTAGGCGCGGCGCCCCGAAGCCTGCCGGGAGTTGTAGTTCTCCTGGGCCGCGTCACCCGGCGTCTGCCACCGCGCCGGGCCAGGGAAGGGGCGAGGCCGAACGTGGGGAGCGCGGGCTTCCCTCTGTGGACGTGGCGAGGGCGACCGCGCCCGCCGGCCGCTCCTAGGCCCCGCCCCCCGGGTCCTCCTCAGGCCATTGGCCGGGGGGCGGGGCCTCAGCGCGGCCGGGGGCGGGGCCTGGCTGGAGAGCTGCCAAACGGGGCATCCTTTTTGGAGAACGCGGAGCGGATCTTGCAGGACCCCGTGTGGCTGGACAATCCGGTAAACGGAGGCGAGGGCGGGTGGCCGGCCCAGGAGGGGACTGTCCAGGTCCGCTCGGGTCGTGGGTTAGAGTCTAGGCGGGAAACGACGCCTGGGAACTTGCATGATCTCTCTCTTTTTTTAGCTAAGACCCTGCCCCACACTTTTGTGTGGGAAAAGTGCCACGTCTCCCGGTGGAATCCCCATCCCCCTTCTTGCAGCTCCGGGGCCCCTCCAGGACTCCCCCAAAGCTGGTTGTACCTCCGAGAACCCAGCCTTCCTCCCCTCCTCCCCCAGCCCTTCTTGAACCCAAAACTTTGCCGCCGGCTACCTACCATCCATCGCTCCGTCCTTTTCTAGGGCTCCCCTCCCCCCATCCTCCTGTCTGTTCTCTGCCTTTTCCCCTGTGACCCCTGATGCCTAGCCTCCGCCACTCTGCAGGGTCCGAGGATGCGGCGACCGTCACTCCTGCTGCTGCTCTTGCTGCTCAGGCACGGGGCCCGGGGCAAGCCCTCCCCGGAGGCCAGCCCGCACGGCCAGGCACGCGTGCACCACCAGGCCCCCCTGAGCGAGGCCACTCACGATGATGCCCATGGGAACTTCCAGTACGACCACGAGGCTTTCCTGGGACGAGATGTGGCCAAGGAGTTCGACCAGCTCAGCCCAGAGGAAAGCCAGGCCCGCCTGGGGTAGGAGAGAGAGGGGGGCTGGAGGACTCCGGGGTGTCATTTACAGCAGGGAGGGCTGGGAGGGGAATAGCCTTCCAGGCAGAGAGACAGCAAGTGCAAAGGCCCTGGGGCCTGGTGTGTGTGAGGGACAGTGAGGTCCGTGTGGGTGGACCCCGATGGGCAAGGGGAGAGGGTGGTGGTGGCAGAGGGGACAAAGGGCTGGGCCGGGCCTTTGGGGCCATAGTGTGGATTTGAGTTTTTCTCTGAATAAGGTGAGAACCCTGGGAGGGCTTTCGAGGGAGAATGTGATTGGCTTAGATTTTTTTTTTTTAAAGTACATTTTATTGATTTTTTTTTACAGAGAGGAAGGGAGAGGGATAGAGAGCTAGAAACATCGATGAGAGAGAAACATCGATCAGCTGCCTCCTGCACAGCTCCTACTGGGGATGTGCCTGCAACCAAGGTACACATGCCCTTGACCGGAATTGAACCCGGGACCCTTCAGTCCGCAGGCCGACGCTCTATCCACTGAGCCAAACCAGTTTCGGCGATTGGCTTAGATTTTAATGGAATCCTTTAGGTTCCTATCTGGGGAATAGACTAGACCCATGGTCGGCAAACTGCGGCTCGCGAGCCACAGGCGGCTCTTTGGCCCCTTGCGTGTGGCTCTTCCACAAAATACCACGGCCTGGGCGAGTCTATGTAGAAGAAGTGGTGTTAGAAGAAGTTTACGTTTAAAAAATGTGGCTCTCCGAAGAAATTTCAATCGTCGTCCTGTTGGTATTTGGCTCTGTGGACTAATGAGTTTGCCGACCACTGGAGAAGATCCAGGGAGGAAGCGGCGGCAGAGGTGCAGGCGGGAGACAAGAGGGGAAGGCGCCCAGACCAGGGTGGAGATGGCTGTGGTGGCCAGGTCTCTGGCTGGGAGACTGTGCATGGATGGGGTTGGGTGAAGGAGGGATGAGGGAGGAAGAGCAGTGGGAAGCGAACACACTCAGCATAGCACTTACTGCAATGCCAGGCACTGTCCTAAGTCTTTCCACGGGTGAGCTAACGTATTCCCCACGGAGGGGGAAACTGAGGCACAGAGAGGTTTAGTGACCTGCCCGCAGTCACACAGCCAGGAAGAGGAGGCTTCAGAATGTAGACCTAGACTCTCTGTCTGTGGATCCCACGCTCTGCACAACAGCTCGAAGCTCAGGGGAGAGCGTGTGTGAGAGTCTTGGGGACAAAGTCCGAGCCCCACGGATCCCAGCACAGACTGCCAGGCCCAGGAGGGGCCGCAGGGGCTAAGAAGGGACAGTGACAGATAAGGCTCCTTGAGATTAGCGGTTGGGCGCGAACCCAAACGGGAGGGGGAAAGAGGAGGGGCGTGGCCAAGGGAGCGGGAAGGGGCCTGGGAGTCTGTCTACAGGGGAGACCTGAGACACGGGTGTGGGTGGGACCTCCTGGGGTTTGACATGCGCCGGTGGGGAGGGGAGCAGTGCACAGGATCCGCTGGGAGCACGAGGAGGGGCGGGGGGAGCCATGCCCGCGAGGTTGCGGGTGATGGTCCCAGGTCAGTACCTGGTAACGGGAGAAAAGGGTGGGGGGCGCATCCTGGGGCAGGACTGGAGGAAGAGGGTCCTGGAATTGACTGGCGCTTTGTGTGATGAGGGAGGGTCTCAGACTGGCAGAGCCGGATGGGGGGTGGGGGGAGAGGGGCTGAGCCTGAGGCGGCGAGGGAGTGTGGCTTTGTCAGTTGTTCAGAGGCAGGCTTTTGTTGTGTTTTTTAAAAATATATATTTTATTGATTTTTTACAGAGAGGAAGAGAAAGGAATAGAGAGTTAGAAACATCGATGAGAGAGAAGCATCCATCAGCTGCCTCCTGCACGCCCCCCACTGGGGATGTGCCCGCAACCAAGATACATGCCCCTGACCGGAATCGAACCCGGGATCTTTCAGTCTGGAGGCCGACGCTCTATCCACTGAGCCACACCGGATTTGGCCAGGCTTTTAACTTTTTGTTGTGGGGACTATTGCTAGAGGCAGTCTCGGGACAGGAGCCCTGCGGGCCAGGGGCGCAGTGTGACGCCCTTCCCGCTGTCCCCCCTCCGACGAGGACCAGTGGGACTAGGACCAGCTGGACAGGGAACTCGGCAGGTCAAGGGGCGGGGCCAGGGCGAGGGGCGTGGCTTCGTATTGTCTTAGGCTCCTCCCCCACCTGGGCGTGTCTTGGGCCACAGCACCAGCCACAGGCCCTCTGGGTGTTGGGATGGGCCAATCGCCTCTTGGGGGCGGATCCTTGGTTGAAGGGGCGGATCCCTGTGGTGGGCGTGGCCTCAAGATTGACATGTGCCTCTCCCAGTTGGCCGACGGCTCTGGACCTTAGTAGAAGGTGTGCCTCTAGGGGGTGTGGCTATCTATGAGGGGCGGAGCCTGGACTGCGGGACGCCCCCCGGTAGGCGGGTCCCGAGATTGACGTGCTCCCCGCCCCGTCCCCAGGCGCATCGTGGACCGCATGGACCGCGCGGGGGACGGGGACGGCTGGGTGTCGCTAGCCGAGCTCCGCGCGTGGATCGCGCACACGCAGCAGCGGCACATACGGGACTCGGTGAGCGCGGCCTGGCACACGTACGACACGGACGGCGACGGGCGAGTGGGTTGGGAGGAGCTGCGCAATGCCACCTATGGCTACTACGCGCCTGGTATGCGGCGAGACCCCGACCTCTGCTGCTCACATGCACCGTGACCCCGACCTTTCTGACCCCTAATAGTGAGAACCTTTAGCCCATTAACTAGAACCTCTGACCTTTGGCCCCTGAAACTTGACCAGGGTCTACGCCGAAGGCCCCATTACCCTGAGACCACCCAGCCCTGACTTCTGGCTTCTCTGTCTGGCATCCACATTCTCTCCAACTCTGGGACCCGGGGACTTCAGATCCTGGACCAGGGACCTACCTCTACCTTCCATGCCCCTGACCTCTGACCTCTCCTCCTGAGAACCCCAAAGCCATTGATCCTGCCCATGAACCAGTGGGTTCCCTCCTCCCTGTCCCCATGGGCCCCTCTAGCTCTTGTTCTCTCCCCCCTGTACCCTCTCCCCGGCCTGTCCCTCGTCTATCCCCAGAGCGGTCTTTCCACACCCAGAGCTCCCGCTGACCTGCTGCTGCTCCTCCCCCCCCCGTGACCCCCTGGTCCCCCAGGAGAGAGACCCCACTCCTCAGCCCCTCCCGGCCTACCCTCCAGCTTTGTTCTCCTGCACTTTCTGGCCCAGTCACATTCTTCAAACCTCCACACTGCGCACATACTGTTCCCTCTGAAAATTCCCTTCCCCTCCTCTGCTCAGCAGCCTGCGGCAGCATCACCTCAGATGTGCCGCTTTTGGCGGGACAGCCCCGATTATCAACAATTTGTCCCGCTTCCCACGGCTTTCAAAAAAGCGGGACCTTTTTTAAAAAAATATCTTATTGATTTTTTTACAGAGAGGAAGAGAGAGGGATAGAGAGTTAGAAACATCCATCAGCTGCCTCTTGCACATCCCCTACTGGGGATGTGCCTGCAACCAAGGCACATGCCCTTGACCGGAATCTAACCCGGGACCTTTTAGTCCGCAGGCCGGCGCTCTATCCACTGAGCCAAACCGGTTTCGGCAAGAATCGGGACTTTTTTTTAAAACGCCGCAGGACGCGGGACAAATTGTTAAAAATCAGGACTGTCCCGCCAAAAGCGGGACATCTGGTCACCTTATTCTAGGCCCCAGCATGACCCGGAGTCCCAAGAGCCGGTGCTCACCCAAAGCCCCTCCTTCCCGACCGTGTGACCGTGGAGGAGTCCTTTCCTCCCTGGAGCCCGTTTCTCCGTCCCAAAGTGGGAATCGGCCGCAGCAGCTGCTGCCTGCTCTGTGTGTGCGGGGTCCGTGCCACATTGTGACTAAAGAGTTTATGAGCATTTCATCAGCTCTTACTGCAAGGCAGGCAACATATGCAAATAGTGAACATGCGTTATGTATAAGGCGGCAGACGTCCCGCTTTTGGCGGGGCGGTCCCGATTTTTAACAACCTGTCCCGATTTAACAATTTGGTGGGACGGTCCCACCAAAAGCGGGACGTCTGGTCACCTTACCCTAACCCTAACCCTAACCCTAACCCTAACCCTAACCCTGCTCCCCCCCCCCCCCGTTAGATCCCTTTTGTCTCCTCTTCGGCCTGCCTGTCACCCAGGAAAGCCCCTCTCAGCCGCCCCCTCCCCCCCTCCCGTCCCAGGCGAGGAATTCCACGACGTGGAGGACGCCGAGACCTACAAGAAGATGCTGGCGCGGGACGAGCGGCGCTTCCGCGTGGCCGACCAGGACGGGGACCTGGTGGCCACGCGGGAGGAGCTGACGGCCTTCCTGCACCCGGAGGAGTTCCCGCACATGCGGGACATCGTGGTGGCGGTGAGTGCGGGCCAGCGCTTACCCCGGCGGTCCAGTGCTTACCCCGGCGGTCCAGTGCTTACCCCGGCGGTCCAGTGCTTACCCCGGCGGTCCAGTCCCCTGGCCCCTGACACCTGCCCCGGGAGACCCCAGGCCGCCGGTGCCAGTCCGTGGAGGGGGACATCTCCCTTCCCACCCTGACCCCCCAGGGTCACCACTGGTGGAAGGATTTTTTTTAAATATATATATTTTATTGATTTTTTTTTACAGAGAGCTAGAGAGAGGGATAGAGAGTTAGAAACGTCAATGAGAGAGAAACATCGACCAGCTGCCCCCTGCACACCCCATCCCGGGGATGTGCCCGCAACCAAGGTACATGCCCTTGACTGGAATCAAACCTGGGACCCTTCCATCTGCAGACCGATGCTCTACCGCTGAGCCAAACCAGTTTCGGCTATTTATTTATTTTTTAATGATTTCCAGAGGGAAAGGGAGAGAAAGATAGAATCATCAACGATGAGAGAGAATCATGGATTGGCTGCCTCCTGCATGCCCCACACTGGAGATTGAGCCCACACCCTGGGCATGTGTCCTGACTGGGAATTGAACTATGATCTCCTGGTCCCATAGGTCGATGCTCAACCACTGAGCCACATGGCAAGCCCACATTACGTCAGCGTGATTGTCTGTGGCCGCCCTATGGCGGTGGCTGTCACCTGTGTTTCACAGATGGGGAGAGTATCTGGGCACACAGGTGCCTCTCCCAGAAGCCCCCGGACGAGAAGTGGCACAGCCTGGATTTGAACCCAGACCTTTGAATCCACGGCCTCGACCTAGAACCCATGTCCAGTGAACTACCGTGTTTCCCCGAAAATAAGACATTCTCCGGAAATAAGACCTAGCGCATGGAAAGAGAAGACACCCCCTGAAAATAAGACCTAGCGCATCTTTGGGAGCAAAGATTAATATAAGACACTGTCTTATTTTCGGGGAAACGGGGTAGCACCTGTAGGCAAACCCAGCCCACAGGATGTTTGTGCAAGCCAAGCTTTATTGTGACACAGCCCCGCCCACTTGCTTACATAATGCTCCAGCTGCGAAGTGGAGACCGTTCAACAGAGTAGACAGCAGGCAAAGCTGAAGATACTTATGCTAGAGGCCTGGGGCACGGAATTCCTGCCCTGGGGGGGGGTCCCCTCAGCCGGCCTGCGCTCTTGCAGTCCCAGAGCCCTCAGCGAATGTCCTACTAACTATCCTAAGACAGTGGTCGGCAAACTGCGGCTCGCGAGCCACATGCAGCTCTTTGGCCCCTTGAGTGTGGCTCTTCCACAAAATGCCACGGCCTGGCCGAGTCTATGTTGAAGAAGTGGCCTTAGAGGAAGTTTCAGTTTAAAAATGTTGGCTCTCGCTCTAGCTGGTTTGGCTCAATGGACAGAGCGTTGGTCTGCGGACTGAAGGGTCCCGGGTTCAATTCCGGCCAAGGGCACATGCCCAGGTTGTGAGCTCAATCTCCAGTAGGGGGCACGCAGGAGGCAGCCGATCAATGATTCTCTCTCTTCATTGGTGTTTCTATCTCTCTCTCTCTCCAACGCCCTTCCTCTCTGAAATATATATATATATATATATATATATATATATATATAAATTTGGCTCTCAGCCAAGACTGGTTTAGCTCGGTGGATAGAGCGTCGGCCTACGGACTGAAAGGTCTGGGGTTCGATTCCTGTCAAGGGCATGTACAATGGTTGCGGGCACATCCCCGGTGGGGGGTATGCAGGAGGCCGCTGGTCGATGATTCTCTCTCATCGATGTTTCTAGCTCTCTATCCCTCTGTAAAAAAATCAATAAAATATAATTATATAAAAAAAAAATTTGGCTCTCAAAAGAAATTTCAATCATTGTCCTGTTGATATTTGGCTCCGTGGACTAATGAATTTGCCGACCACTGGACCACTGTCCTAAGACATCAGATAGACATCTTTAGCACTGCCCCCACCACTGCGCTCGCCAGCCATGAGCCCGGCTTCTGGCTGAGCGGTGCTCCCCCTGGTGGTCAGTGTGTGTCATAGGGACCGGTCTTTCCGCTGTTCAGCTGGTTTGCATATTAGCCTTTTATTACATAGGATCTGGCCGTTTACGGAAAAAGTTTGCCAACGCCTATTCTAAACTCTGCTGTCATCACTCCCATCCGTGGACAGTGAGCATAACCTCCCCAGGCACAGATTTCAAAACGTGACTTTTAGCCCAAATTGTGTTCTAAAAGAGGAACTGAGGGAAAGTCGCTTATAGTAACTACGTCAGCATGTGCTTTAGAGTTATCAGATTCAGCAAATAACAGAGGACACTCAGCTCCACTGGAATTTATAACAACAAAGCATTTCGTGGAAGTGGAGCGCACACAGTATCTGGGATTGGTGTAGGTATATCTCATGTACTATTGGGACATACTTTTACAAAAAAAACCCCGATATATCTGAAACTGAAGTAACAGCATCCTGTCCTCCAAGGAGATCCCGAATACTGTGCGGGACAGATTTTTCCTGAAGAATGATTTGTGGAAAAGTTGAATGTAATTGAGAGTCCTGTATTTTATCAGTCGATCCTAAAATTGCTGATTTGGCCAGAAGACAGGCTGGAGTGTCAGGTGCCTGTGTGGCCTCACCGGGAGTGAGTCTGAATGCAAAAAAAAAAAAAAAAAAAAAAAAAAAAAAAGAGGAACAGAAGCTGTTTGCTCAAGAAGCGAAGGGAAAAAAATAGAGCAGAGGTTTGGAAAGTGTGTCAAATGTCAGATAGCGCACCAGCTGAGTTGGTGTCTAGGTTCTGCCTTTTAAAAAAAATTTTTTTAAAATTTTTATTTATTTATTTTACAGAGAGGAAGGGAGAGGGATAGATATTTAAAAACATCGATGAGAGAGAAACATCGATCAGCTGCCTCCTGCACATCTCCTACTGGAGATGTATATGCCCTTGACCAGAATCGAACCCAGGACCCCTCAGTCCGCAGGCCGATGCTCTATCCACTGGGCCAAACTGGTCAGGGCTGCCTTTAAAAAAAAAAAAAATTATTAAATACATTTTTAAAAAATATATTTTATTGATTTTTGTACAGAGAGGAAGGGAGAGAGATAGAGAGCCAGAAACATCGATGAGAGAGAGTCATCGATCAGCTGCCTCTTGCACACCCCCTACTGGGGATATGCCCGCAACCAAGGATATGCCCTTGACCGGAATCGAACCCGGGACCCTTCAGTCCCCAAGCCGACGCTCTATCCATTGAACCAAACCGGTCCCGGCTATTAAATACATTTTTAATGTATTCAGAGAGGAAGGAGAGGAAGAAAGAGACAGAAACATCAATGGTGAGAGAATCATGGATTGGCTGCTTCCTGCACGCCCCCTACTGGTGATCAAGCTCGCAACAAAGGCATGTGCCCTCGACCAGAATAGAACCGGGGGATCCTTCTGTCCCCAGGCCGAAGCTCTATCCACTGAGCCAAACCACCAGGGCTAGACTCCGCCTTTTAAAGGGAGAGGGCATGAGAAAGTGTGGGCTGGGGCATGAGAAAGTCAGGGATGCGAAATCGCTCGCGTGGACCAACCTGTGCATCAGGACATCTGGGTCCCTGGCCCCATCGCACCCCCCTCCACTAAGTGCAGGGCACCCCCAGAAAGCCCCCAAATGTCCCACGTGCCCCTGTGGAGACTGCTCTGCTCCGAGGCCTGGTCCCACCGCCGCCCCCCTGGTCCCGGGGGCCCGGCCCTGATGCCTCCCTCCCCCCAGGAGACGCTGGAGGACCTGGACAGGAACAAGGACGGCTACATCCAGGTGGACGAGTACATCGGTGAGCAGGGCCGGGCTCTCCCTGGGGTGCTGGTCCCCTCCGCCCCGTGGCAGCCCCGGGCATTGTCTCCCCTCGGACAGCAGAGGGGGGGCGCTGCTGAGTGCACCCAGCACCAGACAGTGGGATGGAGCCTGCAGCCCGGGTGTGAGGGCGGAAGGAGGAACAGGTGAGGCCAGAGAGGGGAGGGATTAGGAATCTATTCCATCGTCCGCACACCAGGAGGCTGAGCCGGGATGGCCCAGTGAGGGCGCCAGTGGCTTTGAGAGGGCTTTTGGCAAGTTTTTCTGAGCAGAGACGTCTCTGCAGACCCGGAGGGGAGAGATAGTGGAATGTGGCCTCAGCAAAGGGACTGTCCATAGGGAAATGGCCTGAAAAGCCAGTTTCTTGGGTAGGTATATCGATCCAATTACTTGATCAGACCTAACACCGGGCATGTGCCATGGACCGGAATCGAACCCAGGACCCTTCAGTCCACAGGCCAACACTATTCACTGAGCCAAACTGGACGATTTTAAAAATATGTTTTATTGATTTTGTACAGAGAGGAAGGGAGAGAGATAGAGAGTTAGAAACATCAATGAGAGAGTCATCGATCAGCTGCCTCTTGCACACCCCCTACTGGGAATATGCCCGCAACCAAGGTACATGCCCTTGACCGAAATCGAACCCGGGACCTTTCAGTCCCCAAGCCGACGCTCTTCCACGGAGCCAAACCGGTTTCGGCCAAACTGGACGATTTTTAAATTTTAAAAAAAAAATTTTTTTTTTAATCTGCCTTCTGCATGCCGCCTATTGGGGATCGCGCCCGGAATCTGGGCATGTGCCTGACTGGGAATCAGCTGGGGACCTCTTGGTTCCTGGGCCTCCCTGGCCAGACTCCATTGTTTTTTGTTTTGTTTTGTTTTGTTTTGTTTTGTTTTAGAGAGAGTGGTTGGGAAGGAGGGAGTGGGGGAGAGAGGGGGGGGAGAGAGAAGACTATCAATTTCAGAGAGACACACCCATTGGTTGCCTCCTGAACACACCCGTTAGCTCTCGGGAGGGGCTGGAATGGAGCCCAACCCTTTGTTTCACGGACCGGTGCTCTAACCATTGAACACACTGGCCAGGGCAGAATTGTTCAAAGGTTGAACACATTTTTCTATAGAACGTTTTTATGGGACAAACAGCAGGCAGGCAGGGCATTTTTGCGTAAGCCTGATTTAAACAAATTTTGGTGGTTGACTTGAGAGAGAGGAAGAAACTTTTTTTTTTTTTTTTGCAAGAAAGAACTCGAGCATCACAGTTGAATCATAGCAGGAGCTGATACAATCTGTGGTGACTGTGGGTAACACCTTGTCAATTCATCTAATCGCCACGGCAACCCTGCGAGACGGGAATTACCCCAGTTTAGGGATAAGGAAGCTGAGGCACAGAGGGAAAATCCCGGACTGAGGCCACCTGCCAGGCAGCTGGAACAGGACAGTCCAGGCAAGCAGACCCTGGGGTTCTGTCCTGACATCCACGCCATTAGGGTCCCTGTGGGGCTCTAGGGACAGAGACAGGGCTGAACCCCAGGATCCCTCCCAAAGAAATGTGATTTTATCCTGCTGAGTGGTGTGGGGAAGGACATGAGGGAGGCATACGGAGGGGGCAGTTGCCAGGGTTCTTGTCCCAGCATTACGAAGGGTTCAGCAATCTGGAGAAAGGCTGTGTGTAGATTAAGTAGGAGTCCAGAGACACAAGACACTTTTTAAAAATATATATATTTTATTCTTTTTTTTTTTTTTTTTTTTTTTTTTACAGAGAGGAAGAGAAAGGGATAGAGAGTTAGAAACATCGATGAGAGAGAATCATCCATCAGCTGCCTCCTGCACACCTCCTACTGGGGATGTGCCTGCAACCAGGGTACATGCCCTTGACCACAATCGAACCTGGGACCCTCCAGTTCGCAGGCCGATGCTCTATCCACTGAGCCAAACTGGTTTCCGCAAGATACTTTTTATTAAAAAAAATATATGTTTTATTAATTTTTTTTACGGAGAGGAATAGAGAGTTAGAAACATCAATGAGAGAGAAACATCGACCAGCTGCCTCCTGCAAATCCCCCACTGGGGATGTGCCTGCAAACCAAGGTACATGTTCTTGACCGGAATCGAACCTGGGACCCTTCAGTCCACAGGCCGATGCTCAATCCACTGAGTCAAACGGATTAAGGCCAAGATACTTTTTTTTTTTTTTTTAATATATTTTATTGATTTTGTACAGAGAGGAAGGGCGAGAGATAGAGAGTTAGAAACATCGATGAGAGAGAGTCATCGATCAGCTGCCTCTTGCACACCCCCTTCTGGGGATCTGCCCGCAGCCAAGGTACATGCCCTTGACCGGAATCGAACCTGGGACCCTTCAGTCCTCAAGCCGACGCTCTATCCATTGAGCCAAACCGGTCCCGGCGAGGCCAAGATACTTTTGAAAGGCATTGGGGGTCAGAGGAGCTTTTTAGCTAACGGAGCTAAGTCCTAAGTTCTCTCCATCTCAGGACCCCTTGCTTTCTATCGACGCAGTTTGTCCTAAGGCAAGGTGGAGATGTACAGCTTCAAAGGGTACGTTTCCTACAGACGCATTTTCAGATTGAGGAGTAGCTCACGGCTTTTCAGGTGTTTGGCCAGACCGAGGCAATAACGTAGATTAAGAAGCTCTGAGCTTGTCTGGCAGCAAACAGTCATCCTATTCAGGTTTGGGGGAAGTGCCTTTCGGCCGATCCCACCGGGGATTTACGCATTTGGCTCAGCCCTTGTTGAGCCCCCAAGCTCCCTCACCCTTTTGATGAGACTCTTGCAGTTAGGACACGTTGGAACTGGCCTCTCATAGCCAGGGTGGGTCCTGACCCCGATGGGGGCGTGTTGGGAGAGGTGGGGGTGCCCCGAGCTTATGGGTACAGGTTCTGGAGCCAGCCTGCCTGGTCCACCCCCCAGCCACGTGACCGGAAACAAGTCCCTCCCCCCTTGGAGCCTCCGCTCCCTCATCTGTAGGTGGGGGTGTGAGGCACCCCCCACCTAGGGCCACACAAAGGCCCATCAGTGGCTGAATGGATAGACAAAGGGAATAGATCTAAGCCAGGGGTCGGCAAACTGCTGCTCTTCGGCCCCTGGCGTTTTGAGCCAAGGCCAGCTGAGGAGGACCCTGACTAAGTTAATAACAATGGACCTGCCTGTGTGGTTCCATGAACGAACTGGTCAGCCAGGTCCATGCCACCGCAGCGCGATGGTCACTGGGGCGGCGGGCGTGGTCACCGATCCCATGGAGAGGGGAGGGGCGGCCTGGTCTCCGGCTCAGACCCCGCCGCCCTGAGCCGCCCCTCCCCACAGCGGACCTGTACTCGCCCGAGGCCGGGGAGGAGGAGCCGGCCTGGGTGCAGACGGAGCGGGAGCAGTTCCGGGACTTCCGGGACCTGAACCACGACGGGCGGCTGGACGGCAGCGAGGTGGGCCACTGGGTGCTGCCCCCCGCCCAGGACCAGCCGCTGGTGGAGGCCAACCACCTGCTGCACGAGAGCGACACGGACAAGGTGCGGGCGCGGAGAGGGGGCAGGGGCCGGAGGGAGGGGACGGGGCCCAGACACAGAGGGGGCAGGTGCCGGAGGGAGGGGGGTCCGGAGGGAGGGGACGGGGCCCAGACACAGAGGGGGCAGGGGCCCAGACAGAGAGGGGGCAGGGGCCGGAGGGAGGGGACGGGCTCGGAGGGAGGGGGGCAGGGGCACAGAGAGGGGGGCAGGGGCCTGGAGGGAGGAGGGTAGTGGCCCGAAGAGGGGGGCAGGGGTCCGGAGGGAGGGGGACGGGTCCGGAGGGAGGGGGCGGAGTCCGGAGGGAGGGGGAGGGGGCCCCGAGGGAGGGGGCGGGGCCCGGAGGAAGGGGGCGGGGCCCGGAGGGAGGGTACGGGGCCCGGAGGGAGGGGACAGGGTCCGAAGGGAAGGGGACTAGCCGGAGGGAGGGGGCGGGGCCCGGAGGGAGGGGAGGGGCCCTGAGGGAGGTGGCGGATCCACAGGGAGGGGGCGGGGCCCGGAGGGAGGGGCGGGGCCTGGCGGGAGGGGCGGGGCCCGGCGGGAGGGGCGGGGCCCGGAGGGAGGGGGACGGGCCCGGAGGGAGGGGGCGGACCCACAGGGAGGGGTCGGGGCCCGGAGGGAGGGGCGGGCCCGGAGGGAGGGGCGGGCCCGGAGGGAGGGGCGGGGCCCGGAGGGAGGGGGCGGACCCACAGGGAGGGGAGGGGCCTGGAGGGAGGGGCTGGCCTGGAGGGAGGGGCTGGCCTGGAGGGAGGGGCGGGGCCCGGAGGCGGTGACGGGGCCCGGAAGGGGGACGCAGAGACGGCCGTGCTCGGGTTCGGAGGGGGCTCGCCTGCGGGGCCTGAGCGCCGCGGCCTCTGCCCCCAGGACGGGCGGCTGAGTAAGGCGGAGATCCTGGGCAACTGGAACATGTTCGTGGGCAGCCAGGCCACCAACTACGGCGAGGACCTGACCCGCCACCACGACGAGCTGTGAGGGCCGCGCCCGCCGCCCCTCGGCCGGGGTGACCGGGCCTGGCCAGGCCGCCCCCGCCGGCCCGGCTGCAGGACGCGGACTCAGCCCGCCCTGCCCGGGCCCCCACCGACACACCGGCCCGTCCGCTCCTGGAGACACCTCAGCCCCTCAGTCCCTCATCCCCCCATCCCCTCACCCCCATTCCCTCATCTCCTCAGCCCCTCATCCCCCCATCCCCTCACCCCCATTCCCTCATCCCCCATTCCCTCATCTCCTCAGCCCCTCAGCCCCCCATCCCCCAGCCCCCCAGCCCCTCAGCCCCTCAGCCCCCCATCCCCTCACCCCCATTCCCTCAGCCCCTCAGCCCCCCAGCCCCCCATCCCCTCACCCCCATTCCCTCAGCCCCCCATCCCCTCACCCCCATTCCCTCATCTCCTCAGCCCCTCAGCCCCCCAGCCCCTCAGCCCCTCAGCCCCTCATCCCCCCATCCCCTCACCCCCATTCCCTCATCCCCCATTCCCTCATCTCCTCAGCCCCTCAGCCCCCCATCCCCTCAGCCCCTCAGCCCCCCATCCCCTCACCCCCATTCCCTCATCTCAGCCCCTCAGCCCCCCATCCCCCATCCCCTCAGCCCCTCAGCCCCTCACCCCCATTCCCTCATCCCCCCATCCCGTCATCCCCCCATCCCCCCATCCCCCCATCTCCTCATCCTCTCATCCCCCCATCCCCCCATCCCCCATCCCCTCACCCCCCCATCCCCCCATCCCCTCACCCCCCATCCCCCCATCCCCTCACCCCCCCATCCCCCCATCCCCTCACCCCCCCATCCCCCCATCCCCTCACCCCCCATCCCCCCATCCCCTCACCCCCCATCCCCTCATCCCCTCATCCCCCCACCCCCCCATCCCCTCATCCCCCCACCCCCCCACCCCCTCAGCCCCTCAGCCCCCTCAGCCCTAGCCCAGGGCCCCCTCAGCCCCCTCAGCCCCAGCCCAGGGCCCCCAGGCCCGGAGAGAGGGACCCCCCACTGCTCCCTGCAGGCCCCCCGCCATTGCAGGCCCCCAGTGACAACCCAGCCTCCTCCCCCCAGTGACCACTGAACCCCCTCCCCCCAGTGACCACCCAGCCCCCTCCCCTCAGTGACCACCCAGCCCCCTCCCCTCAGTGACCACCCAGCCCCCTCCCCTCAGTGACCACCCAGCCCCCTTCCCCCAGTGACCACCCAGCCCCCTCCCCTCAGTGACCACCCAGCCCCCTCCCCTCAGTGACCACCCAGCTCCAACCCGAGCCTGAGCCTCATGCACAGACAGGAAACCCCCCCCATTAGCCAGCCCCCCACACCCCCACCCATGTCTCTGCCTCCGCCTGCACTGGCTCAGCCACAGGCACCACCCCATGCCTCTCTGCGGGGGGGGGGGGGGCAATAAACTCAGTGCTGGGTGCTTCCATGTGTCTTTCTGAGGGATGGGGCACGGGGGGGGGGGAATTGGGGACTGTGACTTGGAGTTGGGGGGCTGTGCAGGAGTGGGGGGGCTGTGCTGGAGTGGGGGGCTGTGCCGGAATGGGGGGGTGCTGGAGTGGAGGGCTGTGCTGGAATGGGGCTGTGCTGGAGTGGGGGGCTGTCTGAAGGAGGGGGGCTGTGCGGGAGTGGGGGGGCTGTGTGGGAGTGGGGGGGCTGTGCTGGAGTGGGGGGCTGTGCTGGAATGGGGGGGGTGCTGGAGTGGGGGGCTGTGCTGGAATGGGGCTGGGCTGGAGTGGGGCTGGGCTGGAGTGGGGGGCTGCCTGAAGGAGGGGGGCTGGGCTGGAGTGGGGGGCTGTGCGGGAGTGGGGGAGGCTGTGTGGGAGTGGGGGGTGCTGGAGTGGGGGGGTGCGGGAGTGGAGGGCTGGGCTGGAGGAGGGGACAGCACCTGGAGTGAAAGGCGGCTGTGGTTCCAGCCGTCCCTGGGGATGAAAACTGAAACCGGCAGCGAGCACCCAGCTGAGCAGCCAGACAGAGCTCTGCCTTCCGCACAGCGCCTGCTGGCAACGCTCTCCGTCAGCTCTTTGCTTTTTTAAAAAATATATATTTTATTGATTTTTTTACAGAGAGGAAGAGGGATAGAGAGCTAGAAACGTCCATGAGAAACATTGACCAGCTGCCTCCTGCACACCCCCCACTGGGGATGTGCCCGCAGCCAAGGCACATGCCCTTGACAGGAATGGAACCCAGGACCTTTCAGTCCGCAGGATGACGCTCTACCCACTGAGCCAAACCGGTTTTGGCTTCATCAGCACTTTTTTTTTTTTTTTTAATCAATCTTTATTGTTCATATTATTACAAAGGTTCCTCATTTCTTCCCCCCGCCACCAGGTTCCCACCCCACCCTCCGACCCCTCCCCATCCCCCATTGTCCTCATCCATAGGTGCAGTTTATGTTCAGTCTCTTCTTCCCTCAATTTCCCCAATAGTAAATCCCTTTTCAGATAGTAAATCAGTTACTTAGCATTTTCTCATATCAATAATACCTCCACATGCCCAAGGATACACTTCACACAAAAGACATTTCCCACTATTCATCAGCACTTTAAAAAAATATATATTTTATTGATTTATCACAGAGAGGAAAGGAGAGGGATAGAGAGGCAGAAACATCGATGAGGGAGAAACATCGACCAGCTGCCTCCTGCACCCCCCGCTGGGGAGGTGCCCGCAGCCCAGGCACCTGTCCTTGGGCTCCCGGGGCTCCCCGCCCAGCCCGGCCTGCGGAGGGGGACCAGGTGCGGCCCATCTTCCTGATGCCTCTCCCCTCCTCCCCCCAAAGCGGTTCCGCAGGAAGTGGCAGAGCTGGGTCTGCGCCTGCAGCTCCAGGGGCCTGGCTCCGGCTCCGGCTCCGGGTCTCCGGGACCGCGGCGTCCCCCTCGCTTTGCTCTCCGCGTGGGGGAGAGAGGGCGGCCACCGCTGACCTGCATGTCAGGGCCGCTGTCAGTGCCCGGGCTGCTTCCGGGCCCGCATCCTGAGGGGAAACTGAGGCCCAGAGAGAGGTAGGCGGGCGGCCGCAGAGGCGGGTGGCCAGGGGGCCGCGGCCTCCCCGCAGGGGTGATTCTGACGGATTTGGGAGCTCCTGGTTGTTGGGCACTAGGATAAGGTGACCAGACGTCCCGCTTTTGGCGGGACAGTCCCAGTTTTTAATGATTTGTCCCACGGCATTTTCATTTATTTTTTCATTTTATTATTATTTTAAATTTTTATCATACTAGCCATTTTTACCTACTTATTTTTATATTTTATATATATTTTATTGATTTTCCACAGAGGAAGGGAGAGTTAGAAACGTCGATGAGAGAGAGACATCGACCAGCTGCCTCTTGCACCACCCCCCACTGGGAATGTGCCCACAACCAAGGTACATGCCCTTGACTGGAATCGAACCCGGGACCTTTCAGTCCGCAGGCTGACGCTCTACCATGGAGCCAAACCGGTTTCGGCTGTGTGTGTTTTTTTACTGACCTGGATGTTTCACCTGGCATTTATTTTTATTATCATCATTATTTTATAATATTTTTTTAAAAGTTTTTCCCCCAAAAATAAGATTTTATTGATTTTTTACAGAGAGGAAGAGAGAGTTAGAAACATCGATGAGAGAGAAACATCGACCAGCTGCGTCTTGCACACTCCCCACTGGGGATGTGCCCGCAACCAAGGTACATGCCCTTGACCGGAATCGAACCTGGGACCCTTCAGTCCGCAGACCAACGCTCTTATCCACTGAGCCAAACCGGCCTCGGCTGTCCCACAGCATTTTTAAAAAGTCCCGATTTTTCTCAGTCCCAATTTTTAACAATTTGTTTTAAAACACCGCGGGACAAATTGTTAAAAATCGGGACGTCTGGTCATCTTATGCTAGGAGTTTATTTAAGGTAAAAAACAAACAAACAAACAAACACACACACACACACACACACACACACACACACACAAAATGGTGTTGGCTGATCTTGGAGGCTGAGGTGTTGGCTGATCTTGGAGGCTGAGGTGGTTCCCAAGATGGTGACTGGGAGAGGTTGGTGGTGATTGCGGCTGGAAGAAGGGGCGTCCCTGAGTCTGTTCCCTCTAATATCTGACGCAGGAGGCAGACCCAGGACCACGGAGGGCATGGCCTCTCTTGTTTCTCTCAGTCGTTTTGCTGAGTCGGAATCCTCTGATGTAAAATGGAGTTCTTTTTCACTGAGATAATGAGTACCCATTGAAGACCGTTTTGGTTTAGTCCCTGAAAGTATCTTCGCCCTGGCTGGGTGGCTTGGTTGGTTGCTAGTTGCCCGGTGCACCAGAAGATTGTGGGTTTGATTCCTGGTCAGGGCACATACCTAGGTTGCAGGTTTGATCCCCAGTCCCCCAGGAGGCAACTGATCGATGCTTCTCTCTCTCCCCCACTCCCTTCTTCTCTCAGAGATCATAGTGACCTAGATTACACTTGAGAGAGAGAGAGAGAGAGAGAGAGAGAGAGAGAGAGAGAGAGAGAATGTCTTCATTTCCTTTGTCTTTTTAAAAATATATATTGATCAATGCCATTGATTCCAGTCAACGGCAATCAAGGTACATGCCGTTGACTGGAATCGAACCTGGGACCTTTCGGTCCGCAGCCCGACGCCCTATCCACTGAGCCAAACCGGTTTCGGCTATTTTATTGATTTTTTTTACAGAGAGGAAGGGAGAGGGGTAGAGAGTTAGAAACGTCCATGAGAGAGAATCATCCATCAGCTGCCTCTTGCACGCCCCCCACTGGGGATGTGCCCGCAACCAAGGTACATGCCCTTGACCGGAATCGAACCTGGAACCTTTCAGTCCACAGGCCGACTCTATCCACTGAGCTAAATCGGTTTCGGCTATTTTATTGATTTTTTTATTGATTTTTTTACAGAGAGGAAGGGAGAGGGATAAAATTAGAAACATCGATGCGAGAGAAACATAGATCAGCTGCCTCCTTCATGCCTCCTACTGGGGATGAGCCTGCAACCAAGGTACATGACCTTGACAGGAATCGAACCCGGGACCCTTTAGTCCGAAGGCCGACGCTCTATCCACTGAGCAAAACTGGTTAGGGCACCAAGCCCCAGCTTCATAGTCAACCCTTCCCCCTCCCCCTGGCAAGCAGGGGTTTGCCCCCTGCCCTGAGGTTTTCATTTCCCCGGAACACATCTCCCCGTTAAACACCGGAACGAGCAATGGCGACCATCTCACCGCGTGGCCAGGGCCGTGGAGACGGGCCACCGGCAGGCATGCCGCTTCCTGCTCTGAGCTCCAGGCCGGTGTCTGGGAAAACCCTGTGAGAAAAGACAGGTTTGTTTCCACTTCCTGTCTCTTCACTGTCTGTCTTGCTTCCTCTTTTTTAAAAAAAGATTTTAAAATTTATGTTCAGAGGGAGAAACATTGATGTGATGTGATAGCGAACCCACAACCGGCGTCTGTACCCTGACAGGAGGGCACCAGCCACCTTTGGTGGCACCGGATGCTGCCCGATCAACAGAGCCCCCACGGCCAACACTCTTTCTTTCCCTGTTACTGTTGTACGTTTAAAAATATATAGATAGCCGGACCGGTTTGGTTCATTGGTTCAGTGGATGGAGCGTCGGCCTGCGGACTGAGGGGTCCCAGGTTCGGTTCCGGTCAAGGGCATGTATGATACCTTGGTTGCGGGCACATCCCCAGTAGGAGGTGTGCAGGAAGCCGCTGATGGATGTTTCTCTCTCGTCGATGTTTCTAACTCGCTATCCCTCTCCCTTCCTCTCTGTAAAAAATCAATAAAATATATTTAAAAAAGTATATATATAATTGATTTCAGAGAGGAAGGGAGAGGGAGAGCTAGAAACATCCATGATGAGAGAGAATCATTGACCAGCTGTCTCCTGCACACCTCCGACTGGGGATTGAGCCCACAACCTGGGCTGGGAATCCCACTGTGACCTCTGATTGGTGGGTGGACACGCAGTCACTGAACCACACCAGCTGGGCTCTCGTTAGCTTGGAAACCTTAAAGGAAACCTGTTTCTTGGAGGAAAAGACCTTGACACCTCCCTCCCCCCTTCTCACAAATAGCCTGTGGATAGAAGACGTGGAAACAAAGGTACGAGATGGAAATCCTAGAAGTTCTTTGGGTTATGGGGGTTAGGGTTAGGGTTATGGGGGGGGGGGGGGTAGCCCGTAGCAGACAGAGCCTATATTTGAGACCTTGAGGAGCTGAGGGAAACGCTGAAGGCCTCGGGGTGGTTGAGGGAGCTTGGGAAAGGTGAGGATTGGGCTGTTTAGGGGAGGGAAGGTTTGAGGGTGGGCTGGGTGTAAAGGTGGAGAGGTCTGTGGGGTGAAGCTGGGAATACTGGGAGAGGGAGGGCACAGAGGAGGGGGGGAATGGCAGGGCCAAGCCTGGGGTGGGTGCCTCTGGAGGCAGCAGACCTCTGGGTGAGCTTGACTTATGCGAGGCCTGGAGCTGTGTGAGTTTGGCCACGTTGTGTTCTGAGTCTCAGTGGGCTGTTCTGGGAAATGGGTGTAAGCATCCCGATCCGAGTGTGGCAAGGATTCCGGGGACTGCAGACTCATAGGTTCAGAAGGTAAGGGCTCCTTGAATGTTAGGCACCTGGGCCAGTTCCCAGGGACTGGCATCCCAAGAGGAGGTATGAGGAGTAATAGGGACCAAGGAAAGATTCTTCAAAAATTTATATATATATATATATATATATATATATATATATATATATATATATATATATATATATATATATATATTGATTTCCGAGAGGGAGGAGAGTTAGAAACATCAGTGATGAGTCATTGATTGGCTGCCTACTGCACTCCCCCTAACCAGAGATCAACCTGAATCCTGGGCATATGCCCTGACTGGAATAAAACTGTGACTTCCTGGTTCATAGCTCGATACCCAACCACTGAGCCACACTGGCCGGGCCGGAGAAGATTCTAGAAGTGTCTGGGGGAGCAACCACTGGGTTTGGGGGTTTCTCAGGGTGTGAGTTTGACTCTGTCCACCCTCCCACTGAAACCTTCCCCTTCAGCACTGCGGTCTGGCACCCGAGGGGGCTGGGCTGGGTGGAACAGCAGCCTCAGACACTTCCTGGCCCTGGGATCGCATCTGGATGTTAGCTGAGAGGCCCTTTCCCCAAAATGACAGGGCAGACTGCGGAGGTCTCCCTGGGGTGGAAACTCATGTGTAAGGACCACGTCTGAGCAGTCCCCGGGGGCAGGAATGGTGTCTTCCTTTCCTCTTTGCTTGTCTGTCTGTCCTAGCTCTCCCTGCAGCCCAGGGGGGCTTTTGTGGTTAAAACAGACAGCTTTAGGGTTGCGCCTGCTCTCCTGGTCAAGTCGGAACTCCAGGCCGGTGCACAGGCGCCCTCCCTCCGCTCCTCAGACCCTGGCAGTGCTCCTGCTCCTCACCCCCCAGCGGTGCTGGGGGAGGGGGCTGCCCGTGGCATCGTCTCAGAATTGACTTCCTCCGGGCGTCACCCTGGGGACTCTGGCAGAGGTGCTCGGACACCTCACAGGCTCCAGATTTGGCACAACGCACACCCCGGGCTTCTCCCGGTGCTCAGGGTCCGCCATGTCCTTCCCGGAGGGCGCCCTGCGTGGTGATGGCTGGGCCCTGGACCTCCGGCCAGCCCACCAGTGTTAGCTGTGCGCTTGTTCAGCTCAGATTTTTCTCTTAACCTGCCACCATATTAAATGCTCTCAGCCCCCGCTTTCAAACTCGAATCCTTCCAGCCCGCCCACTACCGCCACCGCCACGGCCACCACCACCGCCACCGCCACGGCCACGGCCGCCACCACCGCCACCGCCACCGCCACCCCCACCCCCGCACGGCCTCTGCGCCATCCCCCGGGCCCGGGCTCAGAGGCGAAGGGAGGCGCTGCACACCAGCCAGTCGCTTCCAAGTCCTTTATTTGGTTCCCGCTCAGGCCTGCATCACAGGCCGCGACTTCTCCGCCTGCAGCTTCACTCCGGAGCCCGCGAAGCCCGTGCCGCCCTGGGGAAGGGGAGGCGGAGTGAAGGCCGTGGTGGGGCAGGGGGGTGGTCAGGCGGCCAGGAAGGGTGGGCGGGGCCTAAGGCAAGGGGCGGGTCTCCTGGGATGAGGGCGAGGAACAGGGTGGCAACGAGGGCGGGGCCTTGTGGAGGGGTGTGGCCTGAAGAGGGGGCGGGGCTTGAGGGAAGTGACCTGTGAGGAGGCGCGGTCTTGGGGAGGGGTTTGTGAGGGGCGGAGCTTGGCCTGATGAGAAGGTGGGGCTTGGGGAAGGAAGTGGCCTGACGAGGGGGCGGGCCTTGGGAGGGAGGCCTGGCGGGGAGGCGGGCCTTGGGGAGGGGCGTGGCCTGGCGAGGAGGCGGGCCTTAGGGAGGGGAGGAAGTTGGAGAGGGGCCTGGCGAGGAAGCCGGGCTTGGGGAGTGGCCAGGCGAGGGGAGGGGCCTTGGGAGGGCGTGGTCTGAGGAGGGGCGGGGCCAGGCAGGAAGGCAGTTGGAAGGGCCAGCTCACCCGCTGCAGCACGATGATGTCGCGGTCTGTGAGCTTCTCCCCGTTCACAGGGTCCACCATATCCTTCCGGATCAGCTTCTCCACGCACTCCAGGGTGACCACGGCCCCCCTGCGGCGAGTGGGAGGTGGGGAGCCGCTCACACGCCGCCCAGAGGGAGCCACCCCCCAGCCCGCCCCTCCCGCAGGTCCCCCGTGGCTCACGAGGGCCGCAGCACGGCGCACGGCGTGGCGTTGCTCAGGCTGTCCCGGGTCACGGCGCACACGTAGCGCTCGCTGCGCGTGATGAGCCCCACGCGGTCCACGGAGCTGTCCAGGGGCGTGAACCGCACCGGCGTCAGGTCGGACATGCGCAGGGGCTTCCCGGACATGGGGCAGGTCACGGTGCGGGACTGGAGACGAGAGAGGCAGGGCTGGGCCGGGTGCGGGAGGAGGGGGAGGTCCCTGTGGGGAGACCTTGGCCACGTGGGCGCAGGGGGCTCGCTGGCAGGGGCTCACCGGCTTCTCCAGCTTGGTGGCTTTGGCCTCGGGGGTCAGCGACGGGATCCAGAAGCTGGGCAGCATCTTGTCCTTGTCCTTGTCCTTGCCTGCGGGGCCGGCGGCGCTGGGACCCGCTGGGGCATCATCTACAGGAGGCAGAGGGCTCCAATGGTTAGGTACTTGGCCCCAGGGGACCCCCGCCCACCCGGAAGCCCGCTCCCTCACCTGGGCCGGCTCCCGGGGCCGTCTTGGGCGTGAAGGGGTTGAGGGGCCGGCTCACGATGGCCGCCTCCTTCTCCAGGAAGCCCCGCACCTGGTCCTGCGCGGCCGCCCGCTGCAGCTCCTTCTGCTCCTCCCGCCGGGCGCCCCGCTGCTTCTCGTAGGCCTGCGGGCGGCGGGGAGGAGGGAGCAGTGAGCGAGGCCCTGCTTGTGAGCTCACATCCAAACACCAGCACACTGACACACACACACACACACACACACACACCCCCGCACCTTCAGCTGCCGCGCGATCTCCTTCTTCTGGTGCAGAATGTACTCCAGGATCGCCTCGCGCTCGTACAGGTAGCCATCCGGACTGCGGGGAGGGCGGAGGGAGAGCATGGGCCGGGGCCACATGCTCACAGGCAGCGGCCCCTCAGCTCAGCTCCGCTCCGAGGTGCCCGCACTGTCCTGAGCCCCCTGGCTCAGTCACACGCCCTGACGGGCAGGAGAATCTCGGGGGCTAAGGGTTACTCAGCAGCTGGCTGTCCAAACCCTGCACCTTCCAAGGGGCGGGCCCTGGATGGGTTCCTGAGAGGGACCTGCTACGTCCTCCTGTTCAGGGGGGGTGGGGTTGGGCCATATGGGACCAACTTGACCTCCAACCTCCAACCTCCAACCTCCAATAAGGACTCTCACTGACAGGAGGGTCAGGTGGGCATTCCTGGTGGGCGGTGCTGGAAGAATTAAGTACTGGTCTCCTTGTGCCTTTTTCCTCTGCCGATTTTATTTTTTTTTATTATTATTTTTTAAATAAAAATATTTTTTATTGATTTCAGAGAGGAAGGGAGAGGAGAGAGCTAGAAACATCAATGATGGGAGAGAATAATTGATTGGCTGCCTCCTGCACGCCCCCCACTGGGCATCAAGCCCACAACCCGGACAAGTGTCCTGACCGGGAATTGAACCTGGGACGCTTCAGTCCACAGGCCGATGCTTTGTCCACTGAGCCGAACAGGCGAGGGCATTCCCTCTGTTGGTTTTAATCTGAGTCCTTTCCCTCTAATGAGCTGGCACTGAGTGTGACAGCTGTGCCCAGTGCTGCGAGGCCCTCTAGGGCTCAGTGGACCTGGGGTGGCTGCAGGGACCCCTTCTCCACGCCCCACCGTGAAACGCACAGGGTCTCACCGCCTCTCAATCCAGGACACCGAACCTGAGGGGTGGGGCCAGACCCGCCCCCACAGACCCCTCCCGTGTCCCCAGCTCACGTGACGACGGGGTCATGGCAGGGCTGCAGGGAGAGGCAGCAGCAGTCGAAGTCCTTGACGGCATCCCGGCTCAGTCGGATGTTCTGGGTCCCATAGCCTGAGGCCGCTGGGGACAGACAAGAAAGGGCATGGAGAGCCCGGCCAGTGTGGCTCAGTGGTTGGGCGTCGACCTATGAACCAGGAGGTCCTGGTTCAATTCCCAGTCAGGGTGTAGGCCCAGGTTGTGTGCTCGATCCCAGGTGGTGCCTGCAGGAGGCAGTCAATGGATGATTCTCTCATCATTGACGTTTCTCTCTCTCTCCCTCTCCCTTTCTCTCTGAAATCAATAAAAATATATTAAAAAAATTTTTAAAAAGAAAAAGGTGGAGAGAAAGGAGATATGCCTCTCTCCAAACTGTGAGAGGCACCGAGAACTCAGAGGTGAGGAGACTCAGAGAAACAGGCAGTCAAGAGTAGGCTGTGTTGCCGAAACCGGTTTGGCTCAGCGGTAGAGCATCGGTTTGCGGACTGAAAGGTCCCGGGTTCGATTCCGGTCGGGGGCATGTACCTTGGTTGCGGGCACATCCCCAGTAGCAAGAGGCAGCTGGTCGATGTTTCTCTCTCATCGACGTTTCTAGCTCTCTATCTCTCTCCCTTTTTTTCTGTAAAAAATCAATAAAATATATTTAAAAAAAAAAAAAGTGGGCTGGCCCTCGCAGGCTTGGCTCAGGGGCTGGAGCGTGGGCCTGCGGAGTGAAAGGTCCGGGGTTTGATTCCGGTCAAGGGCAGCACCTCAGCTGCAGGCTCCTCCCGGCCTGGGCCCTGGTGGGGGGTCATGCAGGAGGCAGCCGATTGATGTGTTTCTCTCACATCGATGTTTCCCTCTCTCCCACTCTCCCTAAAAATCGGGGGGAAAATGTCCTCGGGTGAGGATTAAAGGAAAGAGGAGAGAGCGGGCTGCGGGTCTCTGTGCTGGGGGCGCGGCCGCACAGCCCACAGGAAGGGTTAACCCGGAGGGTGAGCAACAGACGCCAGTAAGCCTCTGGCTCTGCCCCGCCTCCTTTCTCCTCTGGGAACATTGCTATGGCAACAGTGACCCTTCCTCCATCCCCGAGGACCAGCCGTGTTCACCCAGAGGGGCCCAATGCGGCGCCATCCCACGGGGTGCTGGGGGGCTGGGCTGTCGCCCACGGGGCCAGGAGGAGGCCCCCCACCCGTACCTGTGTCCTTCTTCTTCTCGTGGTAGGTGTACACGGCGCCCGCCGTGCAGTTCTTGCCGTGCCGCGTCATCCTGGGGAGGAGGGAGGAGCTGGAGGGCCGCGGGAGGCAGGGAGGAGGGAGGAGGGAGGAGCTGGAGGGCCGCGGGAGGCAGGGAGGAGGGAGGAGGGAGGAGCTGGAGGGCCGCGGGAGGCAGGGAGGAGGGAGGAGCTGGAGGGCCGCGGGAGGCAGGGAGGAGGGAGGAGGGAGGAGCTGGAGGGCCGCGGGAGGCAGGGAGGAGGAGGGGAGCTGGAGGGCCGCGGGAGGCAGGGAGGAGGGAGGAGGGAGGAGCTGGAGGGCCGCGGGAGGCAGGGAGGAGGAGGGGAGCTGGAGGGCCGCGGGAGGCAGGGAGGAGGGAGGAGCTGGAGGGCCGCGGGAGGCAGGGAGGAGGGAGGAGCTGGAGGGCCGTGGGAGGCAGGGAGGAGGGAGGAGCTGGAGGGCCGCGGGAGGCAGGGAGGAGGGAGGAGGGAGGAGCTGGAGGGCCGCGGGAGGCAGGGAGGAGGGAGGAGCTGGAGGGCCGTGGGAGGCAGGGAGGAGGGAGGAGCTGGAGGGCCGTGGGAGGCAGGGAGGAGGGAGGAGCTGGAGGGCCGCGGGAGGCAGGGAGGAGGGAGGAGCTGGAGGGCTGCGGGAGGCAGGGAGGCAGGGAGGAGGAGGGGAGCTGGAGGGCCGCGGGAGGCAGGGAGGAGGGAGGAGAGAGGAGGGCCTTGGGGAGGGAGGGAGGACAGGGCCTGGGACAGGGAGGACTGACCTGCACGGCCCTGGGGGCTGAGCTGCGCCCCCGAAGGGGAGCGGGCGGCGGGGCGGGGGCGTTAAAAGCTTACGAAACCCCTGCACGTCCCAAAGGGCGGCGTCGCTTTACCTTGAAGACCGGGGTTCGGGGTTCGCTTGCAGAAGCGGGCGTACGGCTGGCAGGCGTGGCCTTAGGAGGCGCGGGAGGGGCCACCTGAAACCGGTGGGAAGTTCTGTTTGTTATTATTATTTTTTAAAGCTTACAAGGATGTTCTCTTTTTAAAAATATATATATTTTATTTATTTTTTACAGAGAGGGATAGAGTTAGAAACATCGATGAGAGAGAAACATCAATCAGCTGCCTCTTGCACGCCCCCTACTGGGGATGTGCCTGCAACCAAGGTACATGCCCCTGACCGGAATCGAACCTGGGACCCTTCAGTCCGCAGGCCGACGCTCTATCCACTGAGCCACACCGGTTTCGGCCGCAGGCAGAGCTCGGAGGGTGGAGACCAGGCGGTGGGGATGAACCGGCGGAGACGCTGCGGTAAGAGGGACGGGTCAGCCTTCCTGGGATGGGCTGTGGGTGCCTCAGCAGAGTGAGCGTGGGCACTCCGCCCGGGGTGCGTGCGCCCCGAAGCCAGCCTCAGGGACGCCAGCACCGGAGCAAGACCACGGCGGCTCCCTCATGGGGAAGGGGAGTCCAGGGCAACGGAACGTCCCCCCGCCCAGGGAGGAAGGGCAGTAACTGCCCGCCGTGGAGACCAGCACAGAGATGCGACTGAGTAGGCGTGTGCAAAGCATCATGGGTAGATCATAAAAACACAATGCTGCCTGGCCGGCTTGCTCAGTGGTTAGAGCGCTGCCAGAGGACGGAAGGGGTCGCAGGTTCGATTCCTGGTCCAGGGCATGTATCTCGGTTGCCAAGTTCCATCCCTGTCCCTGCTCGGGACTCGAGTGAGAGGCAACCAACCACGTGTCTCTCTCCCATGGATAGTTTTTCTCTCTCCCTTCTCGCTCTGTCTCCCCCACTCCACCCCCTCGTCCACTCTCTAAAACAGCGGTTCTCAACCTTCCTAACGCCGCGGCCCTTTAACACAGCTCCGCATGTTGTGGTGACCGACCCCCAACCATAAAATCACTTTTGTTGCTACTTCATAACTATAATTTTGCTACTGTTATGAATCGTAGTGTAAATATCTGTTTTCCCATGGTTACAATTCATAACAGTAGCAAAATTACAGTTATGAAGGTAGCAATGAAAGTTATTTTATGGCCGAAACCGGTTTGACTCAGTGGATAGAGCGTTGGCCTGGGGACTGAAGGGTCCTGGGTTTGAATCCGGTCAGGGGCATGTACCTTGGTTGCGGGCACATCCCCAGTGAGGGGTGTGCAGGAGGCAGCTGATCGATGACTCTTTCTCATTGATGTTTCTGGCTCTCTGTCTCTCTCCCTTCCTCTCTGTGAAAAATCAATAATATATATATATATATATATAATTTTTTTTTTTTTTAAAGGAGGAATTGTTGGTCCTGCAGCCTCTCCCCAGGAGGTCCGACAGGGCCAGCCTTATGGATCTTGGACACAGTGTATCCCACAGGCGGGAATGTCACTCACGTTCCTCTCCTCCCTTCCCTCCCCCGCTTCCTTCCACTTAAAAAAAAAATTAATGGAAAAACTATGTCACTCCTTGGGTGAGAATTTAAAAACAAAACAAGCCGAAGCCGGTTTGGCTCAGTGGATAGAGCGTCGGTCTGCAGACTGAAAGGTCCCAGGTTCGATTCCGGGGAAGGGCATGTACCTTGGTTGCAGGCACATCCCCGGTAGAGGGTGTGCAGGAGGCAGCTGGTTGATGTTTCTCTCTCATCAATGTTTCTAGCTCTCTATCTCTCTCCCTTCCTCTCTGTAAAAAATCAATAAAATATATTTTAAAAAATAAAAAAATAAAAAACAAACCAACAACAACAAAACATAATGCTGGGTGAAGGTAAGAGATTAAAGATCAGCCCTAGCCAGGGTGGCTCAGTGGATAGAGCGTCGGACCACGGAATGAAGGGTCCCAGGTTCAATCCCTGTCAAAGGCATGTACCTCGGTTGCAGACTTGATCTCTGGCCCTGGTCAAGGCGCATGTGGGAGGCAACCCACATGTATCTCTCTCACATCGGTGTTTCTGTCTGTCTCTCCCCCTCCCTTCCACTCTCTCTCTCTGAAAAAAGTGAGGATTAACAAAGCAAAACAAAAATTAAAGGAGATGGCTAACAAGCTACGTGCCCAAACGATACATTTTAAAGAACACCTACACACAAAAGCAACGCACATATTAAAATGTTTGCCATGTATGCCGGAACCGGTTTGGCTCAATGGACAGAGCGTCGGCTTGGGGACTGAAGGGACCCAGGTTCGATTCCGGTCAAGGGCATGTGCCTGAGTTGCGGGCACATCCCCGGTAGGGGGTGTGCAAGAGGCAGCTGATCGATGATTCTCTCTCATTGATGTTTCTAACTCTATCCCTCTCTCTTCCTCTCTGTACAAAATCAATAAAATGAAAAAAAAAAAAAAAAAAAAATGTATTTTAAAAAATAAATAAATAAAATAAAATAAAATGTTTGCCATGTAAGGGAGGGACTGACTAGGGCCGTGGTCGGCAAACTGCGGCTCGAGAGCCACACGCGGCTCTTTGGCCCCTGGAGCGTGGCTCTTCCACGAGACGCCACGGCCTGGGCCGGTCTGTGCTGAAGAAGTGGCGTGAGAAGAAGTTGAGGTTTAAAACGTTGGCTCTCCAAAGGAATGTCAACCGTTGCCTGTGGGTATGTGGCTCTGCGGGCGAGTGAGTTTGCCGACCACTGGCCTGGGGGATGGGCAAGAACAGGAAAATGGGAGGAGGCGGTTACAGGGTCAGTGTGGGGAGGACTGAGCGGTATGACCTGCCGGGGCCCGAGTCCCAGGGTGGCCCCCACTCAGTGCGGCTCTAGACGGCTGGTCCTTTTCCCCCGAATCTGTTTCCTTTGGGGACCCCCGGGGGGTCTAGCTGAGGGGACTGGACTGCAGTGAGGTCACACACAGAGCTGGGAACACACGGGAATATTCTTTTTTTTTTTTTTTTTTTTTTAATATATTTTATTGATTTTGTACAGAGAAGAAGGGAGAGGGATAGAGAGCCAGAAACATCGATGAGAGAGAGTCATCGATCAGCTGCCTCTTTGCACACGCCCTACTGGGGATGTGCCCGCAACCAAGGTACATGCCCTTGACCGGAATCGAACCCGGGACCCTTCAGTCCCCAAGCCGACCCCTCTATCCATTGAGCCACACCGGTCCCGGCAACACACGGGAATATTCTATCCGGCTCTCTGGTTTCAGGAGGATTGAGGGTGTGTGTGTGTGTGTGTGTGTGTGTGTGTGTGTGTGACATACCCCAGGGCTCCCCACATGGAAAAAGCAACTAAAGCAGCTTCATCCTTACCCCCTTTGCTTCTGGTTCCTCTGGAAACCCGCGTTTCCCTTTCCAAACCTGAGGCGCAGCCCTCTGTGATCCGTGAGTCTCGCCCGCCCCCTAGTGGCGCCTCCCAGAAACCGCGTTTCTCTTTTGGGGTCTGACTCTCCAGAATACAGGCCAGGCCTTCAGGACGCATCCAGGCAGCCGCCCCCCAAAGTGGCCTCTGCAGGAGCGCAGCGCGGTGAACCCCCAAGCGAACCCAGAGCCCCCGCCCCCCACTTCCTCCCGCCCCCGAGCTTCTGAGCAAGTGTCCGCACCTGCTGCCTCCCCCTCCTCCGCCCCGGCCCCCCGCTTCCGCCCAGCCCCCCCTGCCACCCGCGAAGGGCGAGCTGACCTCGGCCGCACACACGCCCCGCTCTATTCTTAGTCGCCACCGCCTTGGCCCGCTGCGGTCTGGCACTGGCGGCTTGTCCCGTGGCCAAGGACAGGCTATCTCCGTGCCTTTGGCCTCAGGGGCGGGACATTGTTCCTTCAGGAGAGAGAGGGGCACGGCCAGCCCGAGGTGTCTGTGTTTACTTTGCCAGGAAATAATGGAATCATCAGGGTGACGCTGCCCGACCCCTGACCACAAGCCAACCCTGAGCCCCGGCTCATCAATCCTCCAACCCCAGCCTCCCGCAGGCCGGTGCCATCACCGCCCCCCTCTGCAAACGAGCAAACCGAGGCTTAGAAGTGAGGCCCTCGCTGGTGTGGCTCAGTGGACAGAGCGTCGGCCTGTGGACTGAAGGGTCCCGGGTTCGATTCCGGTGAGGGGCATGTACCTTGGTTGCAGGCATATCCCCGCTAGGAGGTGTGCAGGAGGCAGC